CTACAGGAGTGGTGGATATAATCCTTTCCTGGGACGCCTGGGTGCCTCTGAGCCGACTGACGTACTGTGCATATCTGGTACATCTTCTGGTGATGTATGCAGTATACCTCACCAGGGAGGTGCCGGTGTGACAGAGATCTCGCACCCCCAGTGATTTCGCACCCCCCGGAGCGAAATCACTAGCGATCTCGCACCCCCCGGAACGATATCACTAGTGATCTCGCACCCCTTTGGTGATCTTGCACCCCCTCAATCGATTTGTTCACCCCGTATGTGTTCTGTTACGGCCTTCGTAATTCACAGTGGTTACTATATCAGATGCTACCTATTAACAAACACTATCCTCTAGTATGACAATACCAATATTCAGTAATTACCTTCGCCAAGAAGGTTATGTTTTCGTGGCGGTGTGTCTGTTTGTCTGTCTGTCTGTCTGTTTGTCTGCCTGTTACCACCATAACTCAAGAACGCTTGAATATATTGTCTTGATACTTGGTAGGTGGGTTGGTCTTGATGAGACCTCGAAATGATTAGATTTTGGGCCCCTTAGCGGCTTGTTATGGTACTGCAGCAGAACTTTCGGTTTTGATATCTCGTGATCTGAACATGCTAGGGTCATGAATTTTGCATGATAGATAGCTCTTGCCCTGGGGAATAAGTGACGTAAGTTTGGACCCCCTAGCAGCTTGTTGGGGAACTGCAGGGGACTTTAAGTTCAAATGTTTAAAGGAGGATAACTCAAGAACCAGTTGAGGAATCATTGTGATTTTTGGTATGTAGGCAGCCTAGCTGATGCTTGACATAATGAGATGACAATTATGCAAATAAGGATATAATTTGCATTGTTAATGAGGATATTCTATAAATCTGTTGCATGCCATGATAGGACTATTCAGACTTGTGACATGTGTAATTGGACAGGAGAGGAACATGGCCATATAATATTATGTAAATTGGGGGCTAATTTGCATAATTCATAAGAAAAAGCTATAATTTCATTGTTTTTAACTGCCAGGAATTTGATGTTTGTGGCGTTTGGAGGGTGAGCAAAGCTGAATATCATTAAACATAATTTATTCAAATTAAGACCTCATATGCATAATCTAATATAAATTAAGGTGAACATCAGTTGGCGAAGGTATGAGATCGTGGAACTCTAGTAGTATATAATGCACAAATCCATTTTTGTTTACCTTTCATGTTCTTTTGACTGCAAGGGTACGTTCCTTAGGTTTTTGAGGCAATACAACACACCAAATTGAATTACATGTATTTAAATTTTATTTCCATAGAATCTTCTCAACAGTAACAGGAAAAGTAACAGAAGAGCGATCTAATTTAATCGCGTATATGAATAGCATTCACGTGCACAGTACTAGTGTGCTGTACAGTCTCGGCCGTTTTGACGATGGGGGCCTACATTTTGGACACTCCCATTCTTCCAATGGCATGCTCCTTGCTTCTTTGGCCGAGAGTCCAATGCTAGTACATCTGTAGTGAAACCATTCGGAGCACAGGTTAAACTTTCCGATGCTCTGTGGCCGTCTGCAGTCACAGTAACTGTCTCTACAGTGATTCTCCGTTCTGTCTTCCTTTTCAGGAACTTTGGAAAGGCTGTCAGGTTCTCTGCTTCCAGGCAGGACAACAGTTAAATTTCTATAATAAAGT